TGTCCCTCAGGTATAAGTGGATGGCATTAAGGCTCTGTCTTCTCTCCCTAGTGTCTCAGCCATCCCATTAGCTCCCATGGGTTTAATAAGCATTTCTCTGCTCATAATGACTCATTGATCTATATAGCCAATTCTACTTTAATACACACCTATTGGGCATTGGGAACTGAAGGCATTTCCAAAGCCAACATGCCCCCAAAGAACTCATCCTCTTTCCCCCCAAACCACCTCCTTCCAACAGTATTTCTGCCCAGGGTCCCCCACCCCTCCCAGGCTTCCAGCCCCAGGTGCTCCTCACTTTCACTCGCCTCCCCATATTTTATGTTACAAAGTCTTCTCCCACCTCCACCCACCCCCCAACCCGTCTCCTCTATTCACGGATCTCTACCCTAGTTCAGTCCCTTACACAGTCTCTCTGCCTTCAGTCTCTCCCCCACCCCCACCTCCAACTCAGCTTGTGTCCAGCTGCCCAGGTAATCACTCTCCTCAAATTCCCGTCCACTTTTTAAAGCCCTTCGAGCCCTGGCCCAACCCACCCTTCCAGCCTCATGACACATGAATCCCCTTCACCCAATGTGCTGTGTATGCTCTTCACACGTGTCCTGTCCCTGTTAGTGTTTGTCCTTGTACCCCCCAAGGGGGTGATGCAGCACACCAAGCACGTAGTAGGCATGAAATAAAGGCTTCTTGAGTGACTGGAATCAAATTAACCCTGCCCCTCACCAAAAGCTGAACAACTGAGAAATATATGACTTGCCTTAATTCAGATTTCATCCTTCAAAAGGTAGAGAAACCACTAAAGGGAACTGCCACAATATCAGACATGATTGTGCCTGACAAGGAAGAGCGGGACGCTGGGGCGGAAAGGACGGGACCCTTGGGCCAAGTGATAGCTGTACCACTGAGCTTATGATAGGCCAACTGTCCAGAAACAGAGGTGAGATTGGCCATGGCCTGAGGAAGAGCTCCACAAACGACGGCCCAGACATCCAATGACCACGGAGACACGAGGGAAGCTTTCCATGAACTGACCGAGACGGGAAGGCAGCAGAGTCAAGACTCACATGCACGTGACCGCAACAATGTCTCTGGGCGCCAAACAATCAAAAGTGAATGCTGTGAGCCTGGGAAGGAGGCCAGGCCCCAAAGAGGAGACCGAGAAGATGCCTTGCCCACTCCTGGCAGAGGGCTCTGGGCGCCGCTGGCTGGTCGGTCAGATTTTTCAACATAGTCATCAGCTGGGGGGAGCTTTTTTTCATCTTCCTCCTGGGCATTTTTTCCCTCTTTTTAAAAGACAATTCTTTACTATAAGAAACGATTCTCGAAGGGGAACTAAGTGATGTAAAATCAACAGACAGCAACAAAACCCACTGCTTGTTTAACCATCGAGTGCTGAGCACAGTCGGCCCGAGTTTGCGGAGTTCAGAAAGGGGGAAGGGAAATGTGGGACCCTCCCCCAGATCTGGGGAGAATCCATTTCAGAAGAGGCACATGAAGGACAGGGAGAATCTCATGCTTCCAAATAAAGCATGGGAAGCAGGGCCTCACAAGGATCTGCATGCTCCTTGGAATCCAAGTCAGGAAACACAGGCAGAAATCACTCAGATTAGGGCAAAATCCCCTCTTTTCTTCTGCCAGAGATCCTGGTAACTGGACTAGAGAGACATGAACTCTGATTTTAAAATGGATTCTACAGAAAGGACTGCAAGTGAGCATGGGGGCAGAAAGCTGGCATCTTGCTGAAGACTGGCACACTCTGGAACCTGGCTCCAGCTTTCGGGGACTGAGCACAAAGGATAAAACCATCTCAAGGTGGGGGAGGGAGCAGGGGCAGGAGGATGAACTGGAAGGATTCAAAAGCCACCACTGGGGGAAAAGGGCAATGAGAGGCCAGAATACCCAGCTCCACACCTGGCTTCTGCTTTCTCTTCCAAGGAGGACCACAGAAAGCTGCCAGCCCCTGGCAATGTCTGCAAATATTCTGGAATGTTACTGCTCCAAGAAAAATGATGAATTGGGTGGATTCAAGGACTGGAGACGACCTGAGGCACCAGGCATCAGGCTCCCAGTCATGTAAAAGAACACAGCTCGAAAGGCTTCAGAACTCTGATGTAAGCAGTGACCCTGGGGACCACCGAGGGCCAATGGGGAAGCCAGCCTCCTGCCTCTTGGTGAACAGGTGGCAGACTAGAAGGGCTCGATGCAATGATTGGCTTGACTTGGCCATACAAGGGAGAGCTGGGGCAGAGGAGAGGGGTCACACTGCTAAAATATTTTAAAAGAAAAGAAAAGCAACTGCCTCAGGTCTCCTGGCCCAGGGGAGCTGCGCGAGAAAATGTGGGAGAAAGGCTGTGGAAATGGGGTGGGGATGGGTCTACAAAATTCTAAAAGGCAGCATTCTTCAGAAGGGTTGCAGAAAAGGAAGTAGCATGCCCTCTCCCCACCAAGGGCCAGCCTGGCTTCATGGAGGCCAGACGTGGCCAGATCCACCCGGCTTTCTCAAGCTCTTGTGACAGAAAAGGGCCTGAAAGGAGAAGAGCCAGCCAGAGAGCTCCTTTGAGGAGCCATCTGTGTCTGAATGAGAGAAGTGACAAGGATCTGCCCAGGTCAGGGCAGTGGGGGGCAGAGCCAATGTGGCGGAGTAAAAGTAGTGACTTGCTTGAGCTTTCCTCCGAACCCCTCCAAATACCTGTAAAAATGACTCTAAACAAATTCTAGAGCAGCAGAACCCATAAAAAGACAGAGTGAAACAAATTTCCAGCCCATGACAAGCTGGATAGTTGATAGGAAAGGTCTCTTGTGCCAGGCTGGGAGAGGAACACAGTTTAGCATGGGCCACACAGGGAAAGACGAGGCCCCAGTAAACCTACAGCAGCATGGGCAGCTGTGGCAATTTCCAGACTTCTCAACCCAAAAATGCCAAAGACAACTTAGAAGGCCAGTCAGAAAGGGTCTGTCGGACCTGGGTGAGACAGCAGTGCAGTCCAGCCCTGGCGCTAGCACAGCACTAGGGTGGCGGCCACAATGGTAGTGGCTGCTTCCAGAGCACTTGACCCACACACTGTGGGGGGATTGAGCAGCTGATCAGAGGGGGATTGCAGGGATCTCTTTGATAGCACTGAGGCAGGGTTCTCTTGCTTTGCCCGTGGCTGGAGCTGGGTCACAGTACTGTGTGGCCGTCCTGGGGCAAGAAAGAGCGCTGGTGTGATGGAGCTTGCAGTGGTGGTGCAGAGAGAATTCTCCTCACAGTTCCAAGGCAGAAAAGAGTATTTGTGGTCACTCATAGACTACAGCACAGGCCAGGAAAAGAGTAAACACCTCACCCTTGATTGTACTACCTTGGAAGAACTGAATATTTACAGGTCCCTAGAAATATCTCTGAAAACAGCTGCACAAAACCCCTGAAGCTTGGGACAGTACATTTTCCACACTGGAAGCAGACCCCTACCTTAACAAAGAGTCTGTAACTCAAGTAATTGGCTGGGATCATGAGAAAAAAGCAGAAAAAAAACTCAAGACTACAGAATCTTACTTTGGTGGCAAAGATCAAAACATACGATCAGAAGGACATAACGAAGTCAAAGTTCCTATATCCAAAGTCTCCAAGAGAAATATGAATCAGTCCCAGGCCATGGAAGAGCTCAGAAAGGCTTTTGAAAGCAAGTAAGAGAAGTTGAGGAAAAATTGGGAAGACAAATGAGAGTGATACAAGAAAATCATGAAAAACAAGTCAACAGCTTGCTAAAGGAGATCCCAAAAATACTTAAGAAAATAACACCTTAAACAATAGCCTAACCCAAATGGCAAAAGAGGTTCAAAAAGCCAATGAGGAGATGAATGCCCTAAAGAGCAGGTCAGGGCAGGGATTAAACAGGAAGTCCAGCTCTGGTGACTCTCTCATATTCTACAATTAGTGTTTAGAGGAGTTAGACTTGTAGCAGATGCCTAGGCTGCAAAAAGTGTATGAAAAGCTTCATCCATAGCCTCCCCCTGGGCAGGAGGCCTGAATCTACATTCATCTTGCTCTCTAGTCTCTTTCTCTCCTTTGATCTTTACCCAATTGCTCTCCACCAGGGGGTAGAGTTAGTTGGGCCTTCAATGCCTCTCCCTGTCTCCTTCTATCTGACCTGTTTTGTTTGCTTCACACACAATGATCCATTGTCATGGATGAGTTCCTGGCATAAACCCTTTCCCACTAAGTCTCAGTGACCCTCCAGCCATCTCATTTACCTACCACCCTGTGCTACCCACCCTCTGAGCCTTGACCGATAGATAGCCCCTTTCAGTCATGTATGAATGCCCTCAACCACCATTAATTAAACACCTGGTACATGCAACAACCTGCACTCACGCTAGTCAAATATATACCAGGAAAGGGACAGGCCTGCAACTGGGTCCTCCTTGCCCCACCCCTCTCCTGTTGCCGACATCGCCGCCCTCCCACACCCAGGGCACAGTGACAGCTGGCCAACGTTCCCCCCCTCAAATTTCAGCAAGTTGTGAGTCAGAGCCCTTCTTCCCAGGCCAGGGGCCCATTAGAAGGCACAAGCCAGAATGGTCCAATATGCTCTTGCCATAGTGCTCCCCTCTCCTTCCCCGCCCTTCCCAGGTACTGGCCAGATGTCTCAGTCTTCTTCGACAATGGCAACGATCCCCATCAGAGACACCAGCTCTGCTTGCTCTCTCTCCATCCACCATCCCCTTGGGGAAACAGCGGGCAGATGTCCCAGGGATATCACAAAGTCATAGACTTCCCCCTCTGTAAAGCACGTTGGGTGCTTCAGGGAACGGGGACTCAAACGCCAAGGGCCTCCCAGACTGGGCTCTGAGGGGCAGAGGGAAGGGCCAGAACTGTGCCAGGGCAAGTTCTGCCTCTGAACCTCCTTGGCAGATGCAAGGAGGGAGCTCTCCTGGATCTAAGGACCCTGGGGGACCCTCTCAGAGCCGCCCTGGCCTTCTCTCCACCTCCAGGTACATCCCACAGGGGCAGGGGCACAGACCGTGATGTGATGCCGTGGGGCCAGCAGCGTGTCCTTGGGGAAGCGGTAGATGCACACAGGGAAGTAGTGAATGAGTTGTTTGAGGACGAAGCCACTGATGTCCACACTCTCCTCCAGGGACTCATTGAGGACCCGGATAAACTTGCCTTGTTTGTGAATCTTCACAATTTTCAGGGAGGAGTACAAGACCTTCCTCCTGGGGAGACAAGAGCCAGGCAGCCTGGGATGGGTGGGGCTGGGAACAGCCCTACCCCAGCCCCTCCCTGGCAGGACACTTACCTGCCCTGGTCCTGGAGGGCACTGGAGAGTGAGCCCTGCCTTGCCGGGCCAATGCCAACCACGGCAGTGCCGAGGCTGCTGCTGCTGCTGCCCACTGGTGTCTTAGGTCTCCTGAGCTCCAGGGCGGGGAGGTCCCCTGTCCAGGGAGCGCAAATCAGAGCCAGCCAGGGCAGCATCCCCACACTCCCCTGGCCCTCCTCACAGGGCCTCCCAGACGCTCACCAGAGCTGCTGCTGACCTCCTGCTCCTGGGTCGGCGAGGTAAGGGAGGGGCTGAAGTCAGTGCCTATGGACGAGGGGACACTGGTGTGAGCAGCAGAGCCCCTGTCCGAGGTCGTGGCCATGGAGCTGAGAGAGCTACTTGGCAGCAGACCCCAGTCTACGCTCTTCCTTTGGCGGCGGGACTTCTCCAGTTTGGGGGGAAGGTATTCTGGGGAGTCCAGGACATAGGCAGAGGCGGCCCTGAGGGGGAGGTGAAAGAAACCCAGGGGTCCCAGTCAGCCTTGATGGGACACATGGGGTGGGGGGTGGGGAGTGAGGGGCTCAACCCGACCAGACTAGGGACCAGTACCTCTTCTTGCTATGAATGTCCTCAAACAGGTTGGGATAACGCTGAGCTGCGCTGTTCCAATCTACGTCGTCCAGGCGGAAGTGATGTCCCTGAGAGACCCAGAAGTGGGGCCAAGCCAGACACGTGTGTTCCCACCAACAGCCCCGCCAATGAGCCTCCCCCCAGCTTTACCTCCTGAGAGCTCTGGTCCAGGGACTGGTCACTCACATCTGTCATCAGGGCCTCGGCTGTCACCACCTGGGCAGAATCGGGCAGATGGGCACAGCTGGGACTGCCTGCTTCCCCGCCCCCCATCTGCATGCTGGCTGCTGTGTGCTAAGCTGGGCCTGGGGGCAAGGGGGAGGGGTGTGCTAGATTCAGGAGAAAAACCAAGCGCGCGCGCGCGCGCACACACACACACACACACACACACACACACACACACACATACATACACACACCCCAAAGGCGAACAGGGGTGGAGGTGCAGGGTTAGGGCTAGGGAAGAGCCTTGGGGGGCCAGTGGGCCCAGGATGGTGAGAGATCATGAGAAGATTGCAGAGGTGAGGGGCAGATTATAAATCTATCTGGCAGGTTGGGAGAAAGAAAGGTAACCAGCTTCGTTAGGGCACCCACGAGGTGCCAAGCGCTGGGCTCTAAGCTAAGCATTCATAAATACTATCACGTTTGATCCGCACAACACCTCTGGGGGGGAAGGGCTATCATTACCTTAATTTTACAATTGAGGAAACTGAGGCAGGCAGAAGTGAAAGGACTTGCCCAGGGTCACATGTAAGTGACTGAGGCTGGATTTGAACTCGGGTCTTCCTGACTCCAGGCCCAGCAGTTGCTCCACTGTGCCAGCAGCTGCCTCAGTTCCAAGGCTGGAGCCAGATAACAGAGAACCCTAAATCCCAGGCAAAGTTTATATTTTATCCTTGGAGGCAACAGGGAGCCACTGAAAGTTTTGGAGTGAGGTCACTAACAGGATCAGGTGCACAGAGCGCTGGTCTTGGAGTCAGGAAGGCCTGACTCCTAGAGTCCAGCCGCAGATGCTCAGTGGCTGCATAACTCTGGGCAAGTCACCGATCCTCCTCCTGCTTCTCCTACTATGTATAGGACTGACTGGAAAGGGGAAGGCCAATGGAAGGCAACGAGGCCAGACCCAGGCAAGAGAAGGATTCTCCACGGGAAGAGAAAGCGGTAATGCCCTTCTCAGAAAAAGGGATGGTGGGAGAGTCTGAGGGGAAAACAAGGAGCCAGTCAGCAGGCACCGTGCTAAGCCAGTGTCTGCCCGAGGGGAGCTCCCAGTCTGACATCGGGTAATGACTCGCTGCAGAAGATCACTGTCTAGGGTAGGTCACGCCAGGTTTAAGCACTGGCAGTTAGTTCTGAGTAGAGGAGGGCTTGGGAGGAAAGACCACCAGCTCTGTTTTGTACACATTCGGTGGGATGTTTCTAGAGGTCTTCCTATCTCAGATGTCCACCAAGCAGGAGGGCACGAGGCTGGAGCTCAGCTCCAAGAGTCACTTCCACAGAGAGGATGGTGGAGTCCACAGCTGAGGAGATTGCCGTGTGGGCCAGAGCCCTGAGTGACACCCATCAAGAGTGGGTGTGACTTGGAGGGCCATCAGGCAAGGCAGAGCAAGGCTAGCTGGGAGAAGAGCATGATGGCCAGCATCAACAAGAGAGGTCCAAGAGAAAGCTGCTGGACTTGGCACCTCAGAGATCAGCCACTTCAGCTGAATAATGAGGTTGGAAGCCAGATTGAGAGGGAAGAAAGTAAAGAGACGGCCTTCTCAGAGACAAGACAGGAAGAGGGCCAGTGGAGACAGGAATGAGGACTGTTTAAAGATGGTAGAGAAACGGGCATGGCTGTAGGCAGGGGGGAAGCAGTCAGATGACTAGTGACAGAGTGGGGGTAATATCAGTCAATGAGTGTTTATTAAGCACCTACTGTCTGCCAGTCCCTGCTCTCAAGGCACTCCCACTTGAATGGCAGAAAAAACAGGAAAACACCTAAGTACAAAGAAGAGACATGCACACACATCAAGACTGAAGAAGACAGGAAGGAAGGTGGCCAAGAGCCCCCTCTCCAAGGGAGACAGATGAAGGAGGAAAGAGTGGGAAAAGATTTCCAGATGAGATGAGGAGGCCAAGGCCAGTTCTCAGCCAGGCCCTGCCACGGGAAGTTTGAGGAGGGTGTGGCTATCCCTACAAGACATCCAGGGTCACAGAGCTGAAACCAAATGGCCCCACATTTCACAGATATGTCCAATGAGTGGCTGGAGATGTGGGACTGGAGGTCCAGAGAAGTCATGGCAGAGATAGCAACCAATTCCTTGGGAGCTGCTGAGATTGCCCAATGAGACATGCTGAGGGAAAGGAGAAGCTGGCCCAGGACAGGGCCTCTAGGGGACAGGGATGCCCCCAAGGACAGGGTAAAAGAGAGCAATGAATTAGCAAAGGTCACAACCGGAGAAAGAATCCTGACAGTGGCAGGGGTGAGAATACCCAGGTGTCTCCAGGAGGCAAGCCTGAGCACTGGCAGAGGGACTGCTAGAGTCTGGAGAGAAGCTTCAGTCAAGGGAGTGGGCAGCCTGAGGTCAAACTAGAGGCTGAGAGGAGGAGGAGGAGGAAGAAGAGAAGGGGGAGGGGGGAAGAGGAGAAAGGGAGAGAAGGGGGAGAGGAGAGGGAATGGGGAAGGGGGTGGAGGAAGAAGAGAAGGGCGAGAGGGGAGGAAGCGGAGGGGAAGGGGGGGAGAAGGGGGGGAGGCACTGGCCGTAGCAGCCCACAGGGCCACAGGAAGGACTGTCCAAGGCCTGGCCTTGTTTGTGGGCAGTAGGGAAGGAGTCTGGGGCAGAGGGAGGACCCATTAGAAGGAAAAGGGGATGGGGGGGACGGCTAGGGCAGCTCCCTAAGGAGGCCCAGGCACATCTGGGCAAGGCGGGCCAGCCAAGCTCACTCGCCTCTATGCTGCCCGTCTGGGAGTGCAGCATTCGGCCAGCCCACGAAGACCGGGCCAGCTGCAGGAGGCAGGATCGCTCGAAGGCCTGCACCTCGTCCTCCAGGCGCAGCAGGTTTCTGTTGGCCTCTTGAAGCTGATTCTCCAGCTCCGTCTTCTCCTTGGGGAAGATGAGAAGGAGGCTGCAGGGTCCCAGGCCCAAGTGTTCAGGGCTCCAGGCCCCCTCCTCAGGAGTCCATCCTGGCTTCGGCCCCAGGCTCAGCAGCAGAGCCACAGGGCCCAGAGACTCACCTGGCAGGCTTGCTCCTTCTGGTCCTGAAGCTCCTGAGTCACCTTCTCAATCTGCTGCTGCAAGGCTTTGATCTGCTCCCGGGAGCTCCTGTCAGAAGGTCAGAGCAGGGCTGTGGGGGAGGGGGGAGAAACTTGGGTGCGGGAGGGGCACAGAGGGCTCCTGACCTTTCTGGCTTGGAGTCTACCAGCTGGTGGAGGATGTAAGCCATGTGTTTCCCAGGTTGACACTGAGCAGCCTTCCGAAGGCCTTGGACTTCTAGCTCCCTCTGGGCCAGCAGCAGCCTCAGGACCCTGGGATCCAGGTGCTCTGAGCAGCAACTGCAATTGTCACATCCACAGCCCTTGGACCCTGGCCCTGGTCCCAGGTCCCAGAGCCAGAGACTGTCCTGGCCTCGAACTCAGCTGGGGCCTCAGACCCTGGAGACCGTCCAGCCCTTGGACCAGAGGCTGTCCTGGCCTCGGCCCCCAAGCCCAGCAGCAGAGCCACAGGGCCCAGGTCTTAAGTCTCAGAGCTGGTGTTCTCCCGTCACTCCCTGACCCAGCCCCTGAACCCTGCCAGGATCTTCCATTAGGGCTCTTACTGCAGGCTGCTGGGAGACATAAAGAAGGAGACAGAGGACAGCTTGCCGTCAGCACCTTGCAGGGTTAGCCCAGATTCTGTGGCCTCCAGGAAGTCGCTGCTCCACAGGAAGGAGGGCCAGGAGATGGTCCAGGTGGGGTCATGGACCTCATCAAACCCCTGCCCCAAATCGCTGCCCAGCTGCTCCAAGCTGCAGAAGGCATCTTCCCCCTGCTCCCCAGGCTGCCCAGCCATCCTTGGTGTTCCTGGAGGGAGCCCGCCTGGGAGAGATGCTGGGCTGCTCCTGCCCACAGGAGATGGCCACCTGGGGAGGAGACGTGGGGACCTAGTGATCTCCAGCCATCCCCAGGGCTCCTCACAGACTAGACCCACTAGGTGGATCCTAGCTATCGCCACCAGCTGTAGTGGAGAGAGGCACCCAGGAGCTCCATTTTACAGAAGAGGAAACAGCCTTACAAAGTTTCAGGTTTCTGCCCCCCAGCCCCCACCACCTGAACCAGAGGCTATCCTCCCAATTATCCAGCTCTAGCAACTGCCCCTCCCCCCTCACCTGAGGCACACTGTGAGCTCAGAGCTCTGGAGCCCGGGCTTTGTTGCTGTTTCCATGGTTACGAGCACTCTGGCCCCCCCCCCCCATCAAGTCCCCAGAAGTAAGGAGGGGCTGTTTATGCTCCAGCATTTCATAGGCCTCAGTTTCTCCCTCTGGAGCACTAGGCTGTAGCTAGGGTGGAACCGGAAGAATAAGACTGGCCTGGGGGGACCTCCCATGGAGAAGGGCCAGCCAGCTTGGTTCGAATGCTACCACTGAACTGGAGAGAACTTTCCCCATACAGTGACCTGGAGCCCTGCTCCCAACACTGACCGGACAAGGGATACTGCCTCCTCTGGGGGAGTCATGAGGGACAGGAAAGGGAAGAAAGTCAGGGGCACTTCCCTAGGGAGGACCTCAAAGGCACAATGAAACACCAAATTACAAAGCAGAGATTAATAAAATTAAAATTCAGAAAACTATTGAACTAATAAGTAAAACTAAGAGCTGGTTTTATGAAAAAATCAATAAAATAGATAAACCTTTCATTAATTTGATTTTAAAAAAGGAAGAAAACCAAATTACCAGCATCAAAAACGAAAAGGGTGAATTCACCATCAATGAAGAGGAAATCAAAACAATAATTAGGAGCTATTTTGCCCAACTGTATGCCAATAAATTTGACAATCTTAGTAAAATACATGAATATTTTACAAAAATATAAATTGTCCAGATTAATGAAAGAGGAAATAAAATACTTAACAACCCCATTAAGGGAAAAAAAAATTGAACAAGCCATCAATGAACTCCCTAAGAAAAAATCTCCAGGGCCAAATGGATTTACAAGTGAATTCCACCAAATATTTAAAGGATAACTGATTCCAAGGCAAAGAAGGAGTCTTATCAAATTCTTTTTATGATATTAAATATGGTGCTGATACCTAAACCAGGAAGAGTCAAAACAGAGAAAGAAAATTATACACCAATTTCCCTAATGAATATAGATGCAAAAATTTAAATAAAATATTAGCAAAGAGATTACAACAACTTATCACAAGAATAATACACTATGACCAGGTGGGATTTATACCAGGAAGGCAGGGCTGGTTCAATGTTAGGAAAACTATCAGCATAGTTGACCATATCAACAGAAATCATAGGATCATCTCAATAGATGCAGAAAAAGCATTTGACAAAATCCAACACCCATTCCTATTAAAAACACTAGAGAGCATAGCAATAAATGGAGCCTTCCTTTAAATGATAGATAGTATCTATCAAAAACCATCACCAAACATTATATGCAATAGGGACAAGCTAGAAGCATTTCCAATAAGATCAGGGGTGAAACAAGGATGTCCATTATATTACCATGGCTATTCAATATTGTGCTAGAAATGTTAGCTGTAGCAATTAGAGAAGGAAAAAGAAATTGAAGGAATTAGAATAGGCAAAGAAGAAACAAAGCTATCACTCTTTGCAGATGATATGATGAAATAATAAACAAATTTAGCAAAGTTACAGGATATAAAATAAACCCACATAAATCACTGGCATTTCTATATATTACTAACAAAGCCCTGTAGCAAGAGATAGAAAGAGAAATTCCATTTAAAATTACTGTAGACACTATGAAATATTTGGAAGTCTACCTGCCAAAACAAAGCCAGGAACTATATGAATACAATTACAAAACACTTCATACAAATAAAGTCAGATCTAAATAACTGGAAAAATATCAGTTGCTCAAGAGTAGGCCGAGCTAATACAACAAAAATGACAATTCTACCTAAATTAATTTATTCATTCAGTGTCATACCAATTAAACTACCAAAAAATTATTTTATAGAGCTAGAAAAGGCAATAACAAAATTCATCTGGAAGAACAAAAAGTCTAGACTATCAAAAGAACTAATGAAAAGAAATACAAGGGAAAATGGCTTAGCTGTACCTGATCTTAAATTGTATTATAAAGCAGCAATCACCAAAACTGCTTGGTGCTGGCTAAGAAATAGAGTGATGGATCAGTGGAATAGGTTAGGTATGCAAGATACAACAGTCAATGACTATACTAATCTACTATTTGATAAATCCAAACATTCCAGCTTCACGGATAAGAAATCACTATTCAGCAAAAACTGCTGGGAAAACTGGAAAAATGTATGGCAGAAAATGGGCATAGACCAACATCTTACACCCTACACCAGGACAAAGTCCACTGGGTACACGATTTAGATACAAAGACTGATACTATAAGCAAACTGGGAGAGCAAGCAATAGTTTACCTTTAAGATCTATGGAGAAGGGAAGAATTTATGCCAAACAAGAGATAGAGAACATTATGAAATGCAAAATGGACAATTTTGATTACATTAAACAGAAAAGTGTTTGCACAAATAAAGCCAATGCATCCTAGATTAGAAGGGAAGCAGAAAACTGGGAATTTTTACAACTAGTGTCTCTGATAAAGGCCTCATTTCTAAAATATATAGAGAACTGAGTTGAAAATATAAGAATACAAGTCATTCCTCAATTGATAAATGGTCAAATGATATGAATAGGCAGTCGATTAGAGAAATGTAAATCAAAATGACTCTGAGGTACCACCTTACACCTATCAGATTGATTAACATGACAAAACAGGACAATGATAAATGTTGGAGAATATGTAAGAAAATTGGGACACTAATGCATTGTTGGTGGAGTTGTAAAATGATCCAACCATTTTGGAGAGCAATTTGGAATTATGCCCAAAGGGCTACAAAATTGTGTATACCCTATGTCTGTATCCCAAAGAAATCATAAAAATGGGAAAAGGACCCACCTGTACAAAAATATTTATAGCAGCTCTTTTTGTGGTTGAAAGAATTGGAAACTAAGGGGATGCCCATCGACTAGGGAATGGCTGAACAAATTGTGGTATATGAACATAATGGAATACTATTGTGCTACGAGAAATGACGAACAGGCAGACTTCAAAAAAACTTGGCAAGACTTACATGAACTGATGCAGAGTGAAATGAGCAGAACCACAAGAATGTTGTACGCAGTTAACAGCCATATCATGGGATGAATGACTATGACAGATTTGGCTCTTCACAGTAATGCAAGAATCTAAGACAACTCCAAAAGATTCATGATGAAAATTGCTATGCACATCCAGAGAAAGAAAAAATGGAGTCTGAATGCAGATGGAAGCATACTATTTGCTCTCCTTTTCTTTCATTGTTTTGTTTTATTGCTTCATTCTCATGCTTCCTCTCATTAGCTCTAACTGTCCTTTACATTATGACTAATGGGAAAACATGCTTAACATGAATGTATATGTAGAGCCTATATCAGATTGTATGCTGTCTGGGGGAAGGCGGGAGAAGTGGGAGGGGGGAAAATTTAAAACTCAAAATCTTATGGAAGTGAATGTTGAAAACTAAAAATAAATAAATTTTTAAAAAAGAAGTAAACTTTATTAGGTTTATTCTTATTCTCTTATTCGGTTAATTCTTATTCTCATTCTCTTAATGAAAAAAGTGATGATTGATAAGCTAGAATTGATTAAGAGTCTTTTATGTGCCAGGCACCATGCCAAGTTCAGAGTATACAAAGAAAAGAGAGCCCCTGCCCTGAAAAAGCTCCCAGTCTGAAGGGGGAGGCAACATATAAAGAGCTTCATACAAACAAGACAGACAGGATGAAGTGGCTGAAAGCTCAAAGCATCAAAGGCCACTCAAAAAGCTTCATGCAAAAAGTGGCATTTCAGGATGGACTTGAAGGAAGCTAGCCAGCGAAGCCAAAGATGCAAAAGCACAGAGCCCAGAAATGGACTCTGTTATATGGAAGTAAACACAAGCTGGCCAGTGCCCCCAGACCCCAGAGTGTAGGGAAGGGAGGGGAAGTGCCCAGGCTGGGAAGAATTTTCAAGGCCAAAAAGGATTCCGTATCTAGTCCTAGAGGTGGCAGGGGGCCAGAGGGAGGAAGGTTGATGAAAGCCATTAGATTTGGTCATTACAAGATCATTGGTGACTTTGGGGAAGGCAGATTTAATTAAGTGATGTGAACAGAAGAAGAGAGAGTGAGAAGTGGCGATGCTGGTTGTAGATGGCCTTCTCCAGGAGTTTAGCCACAAAAAGGAAGAGAAGGTAAAGGGAGGATTCCATCAGGTGAGAGGTTCTTTTTAAAAATGTGGGTGTGCAGGGCAGCTAGGTGGTGCAGTGGATAGAACACCGGCCCTGGAGTCAGGAGGACCTGAGTTCAAATACTTACTAGCTGTGTGACCCTGGGCATGTCACTTAAACCACATTGCCTAGCCAAAAAAAAAAAAAGTGGGTGTGTTTGTAGGCAGGACAAATGAAGCCAACAGTATAAGAATGGCTAGGGGCCAGCTGGAACTGCATCGGGGTAGTGAGACAGTGCCTTGCAGTAGGTATTGTGCAGCAGGCCTGCCTTACCTCAGTGAGGGCCTCCACTTCCAGCCCGAAGATCGGCCGTCTTTGGCTAAGAAAACAGAAGCAGTCTGCTTCTTCTCTGCTGTCATCGAGGTGTCCTGCAATGCTGGGACCCTTCCCTTTCCCCCAGGAGAGCTAAAAACAAACACCCCACATCCACTGCACCGTCCTCAGCAATTAGCAAATGTATTAAGCACATACTACCTGCCAGATACTATTTGGCATTGAGACAGACAAAAATGGGTTAAGGTCTCATGGGGTAAACAATCTGGACTGCTGCCTCCAGTGCATCCTGTCTCTAGCTTAGTTACACCGTTGTTTGCAGGCTGTCACCTCCACTAGGTTGGGAGCTCTTCCAGGGGAGGGGCTGATGACACTTGTGCTTAGCACAGTGCTGGGCACACAGCAGATGTTTAACAAATGTTTATTTCCTTCTTCCCCTAACTCTTGGAGGAGGTAACATCAGCTGGACTAGGTAGGAAGCTGGGGTTTATACAAGGCAGAGGTGGGTGGGGGGGAGAATGCATTTCCAGCATGGAGGAATGAGCTGTACGAAGGCAGGGAGATAGGAGATGACATGTCGGCGGTAGAGCCAGCTGCGGCTGCTCATCCTTCCTTTCTGAAGGAGGTGATGTCTCCACTTGGCCTGAATCGGATCTAATTGAGGTACAGTTGCACAGTCATTAGCCTCGCTTGGAATCTAGCGGCAGCACAAAAGTCAAGACAACAGTGGATGCCCCAGGACTCAGCAGACGTTGGTGACTCTGATGTCTGACTACGTGCCAAGGGCTCCACAGTGCCTGTTTCAGCCACCTGCACGGTCCTTGGAACAGATTGCTCTTATCTGCCCATTCCCCTAGGGAAGTCTTCTCACGCTTGCCGTTGACAACCCCCTAACTCTACCCTCAACCTGGGTTAGTCCCTGCTTTATCAAGGTGAGGCCAATTCACATGCTACAGAATCTGGGAGCCACAGTGGACGGCGAAGGAAGGGACTGGTCCTCCCTTAACACCCTGGACAGAGGAGCAAAGGGAGGGTCACAGAGGGAGCGCCACCTCGCATCCCAGAGCTGACTAGTCCAGCGCCTGAGGTTCCCGCGCACGGTCCCCACGCCAGAGCACAATCTCCCGGGACCAGCGCACGGTCCCCACGCCAGGGCACAAACTCCCGGGACCAGCGCACGGTCCCCACGCCAGGGCACAATCTCTCGGAACCGCTGGCTCCCACAGCCAGACTTGTAGATGCGCAGCCACTGCGGGGCTGGGCCCCACTTCTGAACATTTCTCATCCTCCACCAGGCTTAGTGTCCAGCCCTCTCCCCAGGGCCCTGCCCCACATCTCTCCTTCCCAGCCTCCCTCCTCCCCCTGTCCATCTCAGTCCCTTCTCGGCCCCCTCCGAGTCCACCCTTCTTTCCCCTCCTCATCCTCACCCAAGACCCCGACAACCAAGGGCCTCGTCTGAGGCGCGCCCCCTGCGGTCCCGCAGGCCCCTGCACTCCGCGGGTAGTCCCGGGCGGGGCCACAGGCTAATTCCCAGGCAGAAGACACCACGTGGGCACCGAGATACAAATGGATACAAATAAACCGGAAGCCGCTCCTGAGCAGAACGAAGGCGGTGGTCCAGTGTTAGGCCCCGCCTCCCTCTACCTCTAGAACTCGCCTCCTTGCAGTCCACTCAGCTGCAAGGAAAAAGCCAGCAATGCGCAGGGGGAGCGGGACAGGAAGAAAGGGTGGGAGAAGAGACAAGAGCCAATGGGAGCGCGGCAAATGAAGGGGCGGGGCGGCTGTTGAGGGGCCAATGGACGGAGAGGTGAGGCCTACAGCTCTGAGCAGGTACCCGGACATCAGGTTCCTCTGGATAAATAGTGGGGTCAGAGGTCACGGAGAGGGCAAAGGTCAGAAGTGAGAAACAGGCCAACAAGAAAACCATTCCCCACCCCAAAGGCAAGGTGTCTGGACTGGGAGACGACTTTGACCGCTGACCGCGAGGCGCAACCAGCCACACCCCTGGAGTTGGGGGGAGGGGCGGTCGCACCACGTGACTACACGAAGCCCCTCCCATACCTGCAATCTCGAAACCGTGACCAATGGAATGGGGGCGGGGCGACAACCAGGTAAACCAGACGCGGCTGGAGGCGTGGAATCGGGTCTAGACTTGGCAGCCAATGGATGCCTGGCGTAGGATTGTGAGGCGGTGCCCGAATCGGAGAGTGGCCAATGGGGAGCGCTAGATGGGGCGGAGTGGGGCAACAGGCATCCGGCCAATGAGGGTGAGGCGTGGGGTTGCGGGGCGAGCTCGCCACAGCGGCCAATGGGGCGCCCGGGGTGGGGCGGGGCGGGGCAACAGGCATCAGGCCAATAGGGGTACCGGGTGGGGCGGGGCTCGCAGAATCAGCCAATTAGAGGGTGGCGTGGGGCGTGGTTGCTAGAGCCCGAACCGAAGCCCGAGCCTGAGTCCGAGCAAGGTTAGTCGGTTTGGAGCTGCGGGGAAAGGCCCCGAGGGTAGGGTCAGGGCTGTTGGGTTCTTCTTTTGGGGTGACCTTTGCTAGGGTCAGCCGCTGCTTTCCTGGATCTGGGGGCGGGGAGTCAGAGATCGAGGGGGGAGACGCTGATCCTCCTAACCTCTGACCCCGCCCCCCCAAATGGGAGCATATTTAGGGGTGGGAGGAGGTTGGGGCAGGAGGCGCGGGTTAATGACCCAGGTTCCCCTTGGGGTGGAGAGCAGAGCCTGGCCCTTTAAGGGATCCCTTCGGGGAGAGGGGAAGAGCCTGGAGCCCTCCAGCTCCGCCTCCCCCGCCCCGGCTGAACTTGGGGGTGCCCCTCCCTCCTTCCCCAGGTCCTGCTGGGGATGCCCCGGCCCTACCCCCGCCCCCATGGAGCTGAAGGTGTGGGTGGACGGAGTCCAGCGTGTGGTTTGTGGCGTGTCGGAGCAGACCACCTGCCAGGAAGTGGTCATCGCCCTGGCCCAAGCTCTAGGTGAGCAGGGCAGCCCCTGGGCTGGCAGGTGGGTGGGCGGCCGGCGCTGGGGCTCCCCTCCTCCCACCCCCAAAGACCACCTCCTCCTTTTTCCCAGGACAGACCGGCCGCTATGTTCTCATCCAGCGTCTCCGGGACAAGGAGCGGCAGATGCTGCCGCAGGAGTGCCCAGTGGGTGCCCAGGCCACATGTGGACAGTTTGCCAGCGACGTCCAGTTTGTCCTTCGGCGGACAGGGCCCAGCCTCACCGAACGCCCTGCCTCGGACCCCTGTCTTCCCCCAGAGCGCTCCCCTGTGCGGGCCAGCCTTCCCCATAGGCCCTGGCCTCCTGCACCCCATGAGCCCCATAGGGGCTGGCCCTCCATCTCAGCCAAGGAAGAGGTAGGAGGGGAGCTGTGGGGTCTAGAGCACCTAGTCCAGAGCAACGAGGCTGAGCTGGGTCAGGAGGGCTTTTGGAAAGAGGAGCTCCGGCGGGAAGTACAGCAGGAGCTGGAGCGCCAGGGCCTCATACGAGAATTGCAGGTGGCCACTGAGGAATGCGCCCGGCGACTTCGAGAGCTGGATGCGCAGGCCCGAGCCCTAGAGGAGGAGATTAGCTGGCGGCAGCAGCAGGAGGGGCCCGGCTCCCGAAGGCCCCAGGATGAGGCTGCAGCCGCCCGGCTCCAGAGGGACCTGCACACTCAGGCCCTGCAGAGTGAGCGGCTAGAGAGCAGCCTGGCCAGTGTGGGCCAGGCCCTGGCGGAGGCCGAGCAGAGCCTGCAGGTGAGGCCAGTATGACCCACCAGCCACCAGCCCAGCCTCAAGGAAGGGACCAGGCACCTTCATGGCTCCCCTCTCCTACCCATCTAGGCCCAGGCCCAAGAGGTGGAGGAGCTGAACCGAGAGCTCAGACAGTGTAACCTGCAGCAGTTCATCCAGCAGGCCGGACCGGCACTGCCCCCACGACCCCAGGACTCTGGCCCCAGCCAGGTGAGAGCCTCGGGAGCTGGGCCCCAAGGGGACCCCAGGAGGAACACTCCCTTTCCTGGGGCTCCCTGGACTCACTCCCTGTTTGCTGCAGGATCCTCCAGCCTCACCAGCAAGCCCATCCCATGTCTTCCCGAGATGTCCAGCATAAGCCCCTAAGCACATGTAAGTCCACCGCCCCTGCCCCTCCAGGAAGAGGGCTCTGAGGAGAGCCCGTGTGCCCGGCTGTCTGGCACCTTCCTCTCCGCCATGGCTGGCTGCTCACTAAGCCTCATCAGCTCTCACAGGCAGCTGCCCTGGACACTGAGGCCATGCTGAAGATGGTCACTGGCAGGTCGGGGGACCCTTGTCCCAACCATTCAACTGGTCCCCTTCTCCAGCCATGCTGCACTGGTCAGATATGTGAAGGATCACTGGAAGAGGCTGACTTGGGCTAGGAGGAGAATTTTTGTGCCACTCTGCCAGAGACCCATGGACAGAAGGACAGTGGTCCCACAGGCTGGCCCAGGCTCCTCTGGCCAGAGCTCACTTCCCTAAATCCCTACTGTGTGGCCAGTAAACACCTAGCAGGAGTGGGGGTGGGGGTGGCGCTATCTCCTGGGGTGGACTGAGTATATCCCTGCTGGGAAGTATCCTTCTATTCCTGTGTGGATCCACCGGAATAAAGGCACCCAAAGTATGCTATATCTCTGTTTCCTGCAAGGTGTGTCAGGCCTGAGTTTCCCTGAGGCCTGAGCCAGTTTTGGAGCCTCGGCCTAAATATCTGGAGTACTGGGAACCTCCCTCCCTCTTTCCCCTCCGGAAGTCTGCAATCTAAAGCCCTACCCATTATCATCACAACCTTCCTCTGGCTCTGGTCTCAAATTCCACCCACTGCTCAGGCCACAGGTCCCCACCCCATGAATAGTCTTAAGTCCCTGGTGGTCTCCTAGCAGCCCCCTCCCTTCCCGGAGCTCTTCTCTGAAGTTCTGAAGGGAAGGCATGGTGTTGATCAGACCCAAGGGCCAGGGGCTTTCTCAGCAGAGGGAAGGGCAGGGTTCAGACTCCTTTCTGGCGCACTGGGGGATGAGGACAAAGGCCCAGCAAGTTGCAGCAGCTGGGCACTTGCCTTCAACCAAATATTGTCAGCACCACACCTCCCTCCCCCTTCTTGCTAGCCTCAGCTGCTGGACACACCCCACTCAAATTGGGGTGGGGGGAGGCAGAGACAAATAGGACTGCTAGTGCCTGGTTAAGGATGATGGAGAAGCCCACAGCAGGGGCCTGCTTTCTGAGAGCTGGGTTCCCTGGGAGGCAGGCCTACCACAGCCACACCCCTCCTTAGCCAGGTAGGGAGACACCAGGCAAGGACCTGGTTCCTCATCTTCTTCCTGGAGTCTTGCAGGGTGACTCACGGGCCAACTTCGGCCGAGGTACCCTGGGAGTGGGCAGACCAGCTAGGCCGGGCCACTTTGGACCTGGAGCCCAACCCCTGGGAGTTCAGAGCTCATTCAGGGAGGCCCTCTCTGGGCCCTGGAGACAGTCCTGCCTGTGCCCAGCTGCTTGGACACGTTTGGCTGGTAAGTGGCTGCCTCTGGGTGGTGCCACATTCCTGAGGCCCCGGGCACACAGGAGAACTTAACTCAGCACCCTGAGGCCAACAGTTGGCCAAGGAAGCCAGACCTTCTGCCTCTGGCTTCTTTACCCCTAAAACTCAAATAAACACCAGGCTGCCTTGAGGGAGTCTGTCCTGGGGGAAAAAAAGGCCTTCCTGATTTGCTAGCCAGATGCCCACTACCTGAACCCTTCTGGGGCATCACTTCTCTCCAGTGATGGAACCTAAGCCTTTACAGACAGCTGGAAGACTGCTCAGAGGAGGCCCAGTGACTGAAGGGTGGGGGAACATCTAGGACGAAGATGGACATCTGGAAATCACCTCAGCAACTCCAGGGCCAGGCCCATCTCTCTCACAGTCCCAGCTCTCCCCTGGCTCCCCAGGCCCCTCTCTGACATCCCCCATGGGCACCATTAGTCTCTAACCCTCTGGCTGGCTTAAAGCTAGTCATCAGACCATTATCCTGCTGTCCAACCCATGAAAAACCTGCCCCATCCTTGAGCTGCCAGGGAGCTTGGGATGGATGGCTTTCCTCTCACTGCCTTCACATTCCTACAACCCTCCATCCCATGTGGGCACCTGAGGAGGAAACCAGGTCCAGCTCCCTGCCAATCACCCCCACCCTAGATCCCTGAAAGACGAGGGCACTGAGGAGCCTGAACCATGGCTCCAAGCAGACACCATAGACCTGTGTCCCCAAGCTCTGGACCTTGCCAGCTTCCTGCCCAGATAGCCCGAGAGTCCTCAGAAGCCAAGGAGGCAGAGTGACACTCCCCCCCCCCATGCTCTCGTGCCACCCTCATCCATCAGCACCTTGTTCAAACGAGGGCTGTCAAGGACACAACTGTCCAGTGCCACACTGCACTCTTACATTTCTTTATTGGCAGTGAGAGAAGTTGGCCACCTTTTACAAGCAAGGTGACAGACAGATACAGAACTGAGTTCCATCCTTGGCCCTCCCAAAGGGTGCCCCACAGGAGATGCTGAAGGAAAACCATCTCCCCCTCAGGGCGGCCCAGAACAGCCTCCATCTCTGGAGGACACTGGCCTCAAATAGAGGAAGGAACGTGGACCCATGACTTTGGGCCAAGGGCATCGGGGAGTGATCCAGGCGGCTGACAGCCGGGAGCTCTCGGGATTGCTACGCTCCATCTTCACCCAGAAGTTTCCGGCCTTGACCACAGGTTATCCTGCAAGAGCACAAAGGTTAAGAAAATATCCCAAACCCTGAACTGCCCTGCAACTAAGGACGGGCATGAGGGAAAGCCTGCAGGTCCTCACAGTATCCTTACAGCTGGCCATGCCCCAGAGCAGCGGCAGAAAGTAACCAAGGTCCTCTGTCCCACCATCCCACTGGCCAAACCCAAGGGGAACTCTGATTCAATGGGCAAGGCAAAGTCAGAAGCTGCCTCTGGGAGCTCTTCTGGCCCAGAGCTCACCGCTGCCAGGACGGGACTGAGGTCCAAGCAGCCTGGCCTAGGGACTAGAATGCAGAGCTGGGAGTCAGGAAGAACTCCCAGAAGATCCTGTCTGGGAGCCTTCAGACAGGCTGCGTGAGCTCAGGCAAGTGCCTTCATCTCTCCCGGCTGCAGGAAGGCACCTTAACCTGGAGGTGGGACACTCTCCTATCCCAAGCAAAGCCTTCACAGCACCAGAGCCCCAAGCCCCAGCAGCTCAGTGAGGCCAGGGCAGCAGGGTTTGGCAACGGACAAGAACCTGAGGAAGAGAACCCCATGGCTAGTCTGACAGCCTCCCTCTAGTCCCAGCTGAGAACTCCGTCTGGTCGCAGAGCATTTGCCAGGCTGGCAAGTTTCACACTTCTTGGAGGCCTCCCGAGCTACCATCCCAGCTGAGGGATGTTCAGATGTTCCACTGGGCTCTGGGAGGACCCTGGATAGCTTTGGTGGGAGGCTGGTGGTCTCCTCAGTCCTGTGGTGGGCCGGCTGCACGGTAGCCGCTGTCACACGCACAGTGGGTCCTCAGCGCAATGTGCGTTAGTCAGTGGCTCCCCTGCAGCCGGAGAGGGGCAATGGAGCCTGGAGCCTCATGACCAAGGCTAGGAGTCTGGAGCCCAGACCTGGACACCAGAGATAACCCCACAGCAAGGCCCTTGAGGCTTAAAGCCTGGAGTCCCTGACCTCGAAGCCAGAGCCCAAGCACTGACACCCAAAAGACTAGAGCCCTGAGCCCAAGCCTGACACCGCAGATCGCAGGAGGCTGGTGCCCAGAGCCCGAAGCCCAAGCGTCGGCACCGCGGAGCGCAGGGGACTAAAGCCCCGAGCCCCAGAGCTGGAACCCGGAACCCAAGAGCGGGCACAGCGGAGCGCAAGAGACTAAAGCCCCGAACGCAGAAAGGCTGGAGCCCGGAGCCCAAGCGCTGGCACCGCGGAGCGCAGGAGGCTACAGCGCGAGCACCAGAGCTGGAGCCCAGCCTGGAGCCTCCCGGATCGCAAGAGACGAGTGCCCAAGCGCTGGACTTCCGAGCTTGGAGTCCCGAACCCGGCTGCCCGGAGCGTAGATCTTCGGAGCCCGGCTCCGCTCTGCGGGGCTTGGCTCCGGTGGCCCCGCTCTGCTCCTTCTGGCGCCGGCGCGAAGGCTTCCCAGGCCGGACCTGAGCCACCTGGGCCGGCCCGGCCCGGGGCCTCCGCCGCCCCGGACCAGGGCTCCCAGATCCTCCTCGGGGCCCGGGCCCCGGCCCGGCCCGGCCCGGCCCGGCCCGGCCCGGCCTGCGCTCCGCCGCCGCCGCCGCCACCTCCCCCGTCGTCGCCGCCGCCGCCGCCGCCGCCGCCGCCACCGCCCCGCGTACTCAACCTTCCACCCCGCCCCGCGGGCCGCGCCTCCTATGCAAATTACCCGCTCGCCTCCCAGCCAATAGGAGGCCAATCTGGGCCCGCACCTCTGCAGATGCAGCCAATGGGCGCGCCGTGAGGCGTGGCCTTCCGACCCTGTGCGGGTGGTAGGCCCCTGTGCACCGTCCCAGGGACGCGCGGCGCGTTCGTTTCTGCACGTCTTCCTTCTGGCCAGAACCACTTCTCCGGAGATGGGGGGGGTAGCCTCCACAGTGAGCCTACCCCCCCAACCTGCGTGACCAAACCGCGCAGCCCAGAAAGACTGGGAACGGAGAAACAGATGGAGGGGCGGCCTGTAGGCCCCAGCCACACCGAGGTGGGGAACGCGACGGAGCGCCGGGCTCCCCCTAGGCTAGCGCAATGGTACAGAGCTCGCCCGACGGCCACGCTGGGCCATGAAGACGGGGTCGCTGGGCACGTAGCCGCCGGCGCCGCGCACGCACGTCGGGCCCCACCCCCAGCTCCGCGGTGCGTGCACCGCCCACCCCCTATTGAGTTGTGGTCTGACAGAGACCCGATGTAGTATCCCCGGCGGCCGCGCTGGGGCGCCAGAGCGCTACAAAACTTCAGCTGGTCAGGTCTGACGCCAGCCAGCCTCCTCCTGCCTGTACCCTGTTCGCCGTCTCTAACCTCTGCACCCATCTTCCACTGCAGTCCTGCCTCCAGGCCTTCCCTTCCCGCTCTCCATCTCCAGTCTCCGTACCCATTCTCTTTTCTGTCCTTCCTCTCCCGAAGTCCTTTCCAGCCTCCACTTCCCCACCAGAGAGACCTACAGATGAGCTCCCTTTTCTCCCCCCAGATCCCCTTGCCACCACAGTCTTGGGCAGCCATCTAACATCTCGCTCTTTCCTTTGTATCCACTGGCAATGCACTAAGGGGGAGGCCCATCTGTGGCCCCTGAGGCAGCCTCAAAGGCATTTAGTGGAGGCTCCCAGAGAAGGGCCTCAGCTGAGGCCTGGCGTCAGCACTCCTCCCACCTCCCTCGAGGCGTGCTGTGAGAACCAAGCGTCCTGCAGGCATCCGAAGAGAGAAAGAGGCCAAAGGGGCCAGGCGGAGGCCCTCCACGCATCCCCCGCATCCTCCCACACCCCTCACTCCCATCTTGACCCCCTCCATGCCCCAAGGCCTCCAGCCCTCGCCACTCCCCATCTTGGGCTTCGAAAATTGACTTTCTGAACCCTCATGGAAGACTGGCATTTCTCCCTCTGACGATGACTGGCTTGTGCTCAGGGTTCTAGCTCAGTGGTTCTTAGACCTGGGGATCTCAGAAGCCCTTTCCGCTGTTACAGATTAGTGAAGACCCCCTCCAGCCTCCAGCCTCCACCCTTCACCAAGAGCTTTTGCTTCTGTGGGTCAGAGCTCTTCATGCTGATCACACTAGGAATGAAAGCCTCTCAGTATTGTTCTAAAAATCGTTCTGAGCCCAGAAGGGGCCTCAGGGACCCCACCCCCAGTCACCCTTCTCCGGACCTGCTTTGGAGAAGCTTGTCCCCGAGGCCTAGGGTTCTCTAGGAAGCCTCCACAGGGGAGCCTTCTGACCTCAGCTGGGTTCCAACTCTTCACAACCCTCCCCTCCCCTCAGGCTCCTCCCCAGTGCACAGCACATAGTAGGGCCTCCATACATGTTTGAGACTCTCCTGTCTGGTCCCGAAACGCTTCCTGCCCTTTGTCGTAGCTGCTCTGCAGAACAGCCCCAAGAGGGTAAAAGACAGGGATTGTCCCCCCAATTTCACAGAGAAGGAAACAGGCTCCAAGAGGGGGACTCACTTGACCAGGAAGAGTCTCTGGCAGCTGTGAAGGGTCAGACTGGGGGAGGGGGCAGGATTGCCTTCTCTCAGTGGGGGGAGTGAGGGGGTGCAGGTGCAGGATGGGAGTCGGCCCCAAGCCTCTCATCCAATTCTAGTCCTGACATACCTCTGTGGCCAGCAAATCTACAGCGAATAAGAATTCACCTCGGTCTTCTCCCCTGGAAAGGGAGGGTACAGCCTTTGGCCTAGTGCTTAATACAGAGCTCTGGGCCTATGCCATCATTGGGCTGCCTGGTTAGCGGGGAGTGGTAGGCACTGCCAAAGAGTATGCCAGGTGTGCTGTGAGGCGCCATCCTCCTTTTTGGCCTTTTGTTGGTCTGCTAGCATTTAGCACAGTGCCCAGCATACAGGAGGTGCTTCATAAATGCTTAATGATGGCTGGGTCTCCCAGGCATAGAGGGCAAGCCTTCACAGCTGCTGAACTCATCTTCCTGAAGCCCAAGTCTGAATAGCTGAGCCAGAGGCCCTTCCCAGCCAGCTTCCAGCCCACCAGCCTTCCTTGGCTAATACATCCTTCTTCATTTCCTCTGCAGCCTCTCAGGTGAGCCAGCCACCCCGAAGGAGAATCGCTGTCTCCCTTCAGGAAGCCCTAGGCATCAGTCCCACCCCCAACCCCCAGTGGTCAGGCTTACAGGACATCTCCCATCAGGGTAATATAGGCATCCGGAGGGCAGGGATGTTCCCTTTTGGCCTTCATCTCCTCAGGGACCATCTTTGCACCTGGCAAGCAGTGCTATTGGTCATGTCTGACTCTATGACCCCATTTGGAGTTTTCTTGGCAAAGGCACCGGAGTGGTTTGCCATTGCATTCTCCAGCTCATTTTACAGGTGAAGAAACTGAGGCAAATGGTAAAATGACTTGCCCTGCCTCACCCAGCTAGGAAATGTCTGGGGCTGGATTTGAACTCAGGTCTTCCTGACTCCAGGCCCAGGGCTCTGTCCACCATACCACCAAGCTACCTCTATCATTTCTTGTCATCTGACTGTGCCACTTCACAGCTCCACTAACAATGTATCAGTTGCGCCAGTCTTCTGCCAGCCTCCAACAATTAAACCTTTTTCCCCTTTGCTTATCTGGTGATTTTACGGTGGGACCAGCTCTCCAAGGGTGATCTGGCTTGCAGCACAGAGATCCGAAGTGCCTTCCCACTGGCCCCTTTTGGGGAACAGCTCTCCTTGCTCCTCTTTTTGAGTAGGGTCTGCTGGCACACAGCAGGTGCATAATAAATACTGGTGGGTGGAAAGATGGTTACAGAGGGAGGGGGGAGGTGCCGAGTGAAACGGATGGAAATCCCCCCCCTACTTTACCCATACCCCTCTTACAGCCTCTCCTCGCCCCGCCCCGCAGGCCCCACCTCCGGCTTCTTCCACCGCCTCGTCCCCCTCGTCCCCCTCCTCCTCCTCCTCCCCCCTCTCCAGGTCTGGAGGATCTCGCTCTGAAAGCCCTGGCCCGCCCTCTAGTCTCTGCGCACGCGCCCCGCCAGGCAGTAGGCGAGGGGAGGGGGCGAGAGCGCGAAGTGGCCGGTGCCATTTCTCCGAGGGGGTGGGGGAGGATGAGAAGGGCCGTACCATTCAGCAGAGGGGGACGCGGCTAGCGCAGTCCGGACCATTCTACCAGGAAGAGGGGGAGCCATTGAAGGCCGAATCTTTGAGGGGCGACGCTCCTTCGCGGCATTTCCCTGCCATGACTCCTCTCGGGAAACTGCGAAACCCAGGCAGTCTGGGCTCCCGCGCCACTCTCCAGTCCGGCGAGGCCCACGGCCTTTGTTGATCTGCCGAGCCTCCCCCCTCTTCTTCGTCTTCATGGATCCGCCCAACGGGTGGCGAGGGCGGAGGGGCATCCCCGGAAGTGGGACCAGTGTGCTTCCGGGTCGGGAGCGCGCTGGCGGCGACGGAGACGGCGGGGGCCTAGTTCGGTGGCGAGAGCTGGGCCGGAGTCAGGGCCAGAGCCGGAGCGGAGTGGAACGGGAGCCGGGACCGGGGCCGGGGCCGAGGCGGGGGCCGCGGCCGAGGTTGGGCCTGAGCCGCATCGGGGCGGAGCGGAGCCGGAGCAGCGCCTTGGTCGGTGAGTGTTGGTCTTCGCGCGCGTGGCCCCGCCGGCCCGGGGCGGCCTCGGAGGGGGAGGGGGAGGGGGCTGCGCCGGCCGCGGGCCGAGCCTGGAGGCGGTTCTTGGAGAAAGGCCCGCCAGCAGGGCCGCGGAGTTTGGAGGCCTTAACTGCGCCAGGCGGCCCAGGGTGGAGGGTGGGGGCTGGGGCTGAGGCGCGGAGGCCCGCCTGGAGGAGGCTTCCCGCGGGGCGACTTCCCCCGGCCCGGGGCCTTCTTTGGGGGCCAGGAGGCAGAACTCGAACTCGGGGCCCCCCCGAAGCCTGGCCCTGCCTGGGGTCCGGCCTGCCCAGGCACCGATGTGGGCTTCCTAGTGTGTCCTTAAAAAGGCCGAGGAGGTTAAGAGGGGGAGATGGGACGTGGGGGCGGCGGGGGAGCTCAGGCCCGGCGTCCCCGCAGAGCCGCCCCTGATGTCCAGCCATGGATGACGACAGTCAGGACGAGCTCATCAATAGGAACGCGGCGGCCCACGGCTCAGGAGGCCGGAGTAGGGGCCAGGTGGTCAGCGAGGCGGGTGAGGCCTGGGACTTGGGGGGGAGGGGCCCCGGGCTGGGGGGAGGGGCCCTGGAGCGGGCAGTGTGGTCAGCATGTCCGTGTCTGTCCAGATGATAGCAGCGATGCCGGGCCCAGTGGAGACTCTGAGGAGGACACTGGGAGCGAGGAGGACGGAGACGCTGGGGGAGAGGAGGGAGAGGAAGGCTCAGGTAAGGCCTGGACTAGTCCCTAGCACCAGGGAGGGGAGCCCCCATCCCTGAGCTCTGGGAGCTGCAGGCTCTGGCTAGAACCCCAAAAGAAGCTGGTCTCCCCGAGCTCAGTGCTGGTTTGGGGTGGGGTTGCTGCACATCCGAACACTTTTTAAAGGGATTGAGAGGAAGGGCATTGGTATCTGAAAACCTGGGCTAGGCAGGGGCCTGGGTGGGCTGTTGCCACATGTTGCAGGCGGATCTTCTGGGGTGACCTGAGAAGTAGACAGGCTCCTAGGGCTGGGTCTGGGGAGAACCAGGGCCCCAGCCTCCATAAACTAAAAACTCAGGTTTCCTCATGGGGTCTGTGGATTCCAGAAACCCAAAGGTGGGCTTAGGCGTAGTGGTAGGAGAGAGCTTGAGAAAAAGAGGGGCTGGAATGGAGAGCTACCGTGCAGCATGGCCCCACATGGGTTAGGGCAACTTGGGAGGAGAGGTGGAGAAACAGGTGGGGACGGGGTCAGGCCTCAGGAGGCCTCCTGGGGCAGTGGGTAAGGGTCCTGGTGGAAGCCCTGCCAGAGAGAACAGGTTCACCGTCGGCAGCTCCTCGTGAGCATTTTTTGTCCTTCTCCAGACTGGAACAGTTCTGAAGACGACGACTCCGTGGACGACCAGGAGGTGGAGGTATCTTTAGAAGCTGCTTTGGAGCCCCCCAAAGGACGGCCAGATCTCCCAGCCAGGGGGAGCAGCAGCTCTGACGAGGACACGGAGAGCTGTCCCATTTGCCTCAACGTGTTTAGGGACCAAGTGGTGGGCACCCCTGAGAACTGCACCCACTATTTCTGCCTCGACTGCATAGTGGAGTGGTCTAAGGTATGGAGGGCCCCACAGGCTGCTTGGCACAGGGGCGTGGTGCTGCCAAGCAGGGAGGCCTGACGTCACATTTTTGCACGCTTCCCATAGAATGCCAATTCCTGCCCCGTGGATCGTATTCTCTTTAAGTGGATTTGCATCCGGGCGAGATTTGGTGGCAAGGTCTTGAAAAAGGTAAGTGGCAGCATGTCTTCGGTCATCCTTGCATGACACTGGGGTGGGAGAGTTCTGCTTTAGTGCTCCTCTGTGTGATGGACCTGGGAGAGCTGTCAGCCAATCTCTCCCTTGTGCCGAGCACCAAGGACGCCAGAGGTGGCATCAGTGCCTTCAGTACAGCTAAGAGGGGCCCACTGAGCAGAGCCGGCAGCACAGGTGGGCAGAGTGAAGCTCAGAGACTGGGGCCACATTTGGTGACAGAGAATGTGAGAATGTCCACGTCTGTTATCAGATTCCTGTGGAGAGTCAGAAGGCTCCTCGGGCTCAGGAGGATGAGGAAGACCCCACCTTCTGTGAAGTGTGTGGCCGGAGTGACCGGGAGGATCGGCTGCTGCTCTGTGATGGCTGCGATGCCGGGTGAGCGTTGGGGCTGGGAGTGGCCGCCCGCCTCTCTGATGGGGGAAGCCGGGGGTGTTCCTGAGGGTACCCCCTCACCCCAGCTCAGTGTCCATTAGCAGATCTGGCCAGAACAAGCTTATTGTCCCTTCGGTGTATTTTGTTTGTGTGTTTTGGTTAGGCAGTGAGATTAAGTGACTTGCCCAGGGTCACACAGCTAATAAGTGCTCTGTGTCTGAGGCCAGATTTGAACTCAGGTTCTCCTGAATCCAGGGCCAGTGCTCTATCCGCTGCGCCAGTTAGCTGTCCCTCTTTAGTGTTTTTTGTGGCATTCAAGGCCTGGCCTGCCTTTCCCACCAGTGCCCTGTTGTCTAGCCAGGGTTTACTCTGTTCTGATTTCCTGCTTCTACATCTTGTCTATTTCTCAAGGCCTTTCTTGAGCCTCCAAGAGCTTCCACTGAATCAAAAGACTGGGTGGAGGTGGGAGGCAGAGTGACACAGACGGCAACTTGTGGGGGCTCATCAGCTTAGCCCCATGGGACTGGTGTGGGTGACTTTGTCCAGATTTCAAAACGCCGTGGATTTTCATCTGCCGTCTTGGTTGGGAAATGGTAGAGTCAACCAGTAGCCTTGCAAGTGTGGAATTTCCTTGGGAAGCTGTCTTACCATGTGGCCCCCTGAGTGGCGCAGCCACAACCCATCCTGGGTACCCTCCTCAGCCAGCATGTGCTTGACTTCACCAGCTGGGCTTGGGCTTGGGGTGGCTTAG